CTCCCTCTCTTTCTGCCCCTCCCCCCTCTCAAAAATAAATAAACATTAAAAAAAAAAAAAAATAGAATTGGAAACCAGAAATGGAATGTTGGAAGTAAAGGCAAAGGCTTACAGTCAAACTCCAGGGCTGCTAGAAGGATGAATAACTTACTGCTTCCCATGTTGAGTCTTTGAGTATTTGTACTTTAGCCCCGTTTTAGTCCATCTGGACTGCTATAACAAAATACCATACGTGGGGTGGCCTAAGCAACAAAAATTTACTGCTTCCTGGGAAGTCCAAGATCAAGGTGATGGCAGATTTGGTGTTTGGTAAGGGCCATTTCCTTGCTGCATTCTCACATGGCAGAAGGAGAAAGGGAGCTCTAGGGTCTCTTTTATAAGGGCGCTAATCTTGTTCATGGCTCCACTTTCATGACCTAATCACCTCCCTAAAACTCCACCTCCAGATAGCATCAGGGTGGGGATTAGGTTTCAACGTAGCAATGTGGAGGGACACAAACATTCAGTCCATTGCAAACTCTCTGAGATGAGAGGAATGGCCACATAATAAAAAAGGAAATGTCTACAGTTTTAACAACAGAACATAAATACTTTGGTCATTAGTTACATGTTTTCATTACTGCTAAAATATTATAAACCCTTCCTGTAAGTATGTGGTTACTGCGGGTAGTGGTCAAGATATTGAGAGCTTTTCATGTTCTTCCCCTCTAGACTGAGTTGCTTGAAGCTAAGAGTCCTGACTGTTTCTTTTTATTTGTGGTACACATCACAGTGCCTGATGCTATAGATTTTTAGGGAATGTTAGTAGAAGGAAGAAAGCATAGAAACTTATTCTGGTAACCCAACTGTATTTGTATTATTTGTGAGGTCATTTAGTGGCATGTATGAACTGATCATTGAGGGTTCTTTGTGATGAACAACAAGAAGTGAATGACTGCCAACACTTGAAACTCTAGGCATCTCGCCTTTAGTCCCATGCATTCACCAACTCCCTCTAAGTTTCTCTTCTTAGCTAAAGCTTTAAGTTAAAACCATTGTTCTCAGGTATGTATAGGTGCTCTCAGCAGTGAATCCACGTTGTCCTTCCCTTTCCCTCTGCTGCATAACCTGTGGCCAGAATGTGGTGTATGTGAGGGGGTTGGTGAGGCAGAGGGGTGTATTATCTGAGGTTGGTTGGGCAACAAGTGTTCAACCTGGCTTCCTGGGCCCCACCTTCCCTTGCTGCTGCTCATGTATTACCTCTGCTCAATCCCAAATGATCAAAATTTGCCCTTTCCCAGATGAAGCAGCTTCCTGTGAAATCTGTGATGGTAAGAGAAAAAGTAGTAGCAGGAACCAGTAGCGGAGAAGCAGATAGACTACGCAGATCATAGACTACCGCAGATCACGTCAATTTTCTTGAAGCTGTGGGAAATAGCTGTGAATCTCAGCACATCTTGACTTTTGCTTTGGAAAAGACTGGCAGAGGATACTGCGGGTGGCTGCCTCATCTCCCAAGACCTGATAATACTAATTTGTCTTAGTTGAGTGCTTTGAGTTTTGTCGGGTGCCTTAAAGCAATGGGCTCCCAGTTGCAAACAGTCTTTTAGGGAACAAGGAGAGAAGTGAATGAAGCATGGATAGGAATTGAATAATATTATATTGAATAATAAAATATTTAAAATATTTATTAGACTCTCCATATATTCTGTCAGCCTGTAATTGTGTATTCTTTTTGTGGTTCTTTTCTCATTAACTAATAATCAGAATAGCTAATTTTATTGTGTACTTACTGTATGCCAGGCGTGCTGTGCAAAATTCTTTTTATTCGATCACAGTAACCCACAGTCATCAAGTGAACTCCATAGTGGCATTTCTCTCACAAAAGTACAAGAGAACTAATTTTTTTTTACAAATAGTTTATTCAAGAGAACTAATTTTTATTCAACAGCTATTTGTACGTGCCATGAATATCATATGGAAAAAAAAATATCATATGGGGGACATCCATATCTATGAGTTTGGACTAACTGTGCTTATGTCTTCATAGGGATACAACTTTTAAGCTTTTCACTGAGGAAATCTTATAAAGTTGACTTGGGGATTCTGGAGGGATGGGATGTAAGAGACACCTTTGAGTCTTCTCTCTTACATCTCTTTTTGAAACCTTCTTCTAAAGAAAGGAAGCCAGGTTGTGGGCAGCATGGCCAAGTCGTACCTTTTCGCATCTCATTTCTGAGTGCTCTAAGAAAACAAAACAGGCACATTCTTCTTGTGTAACGGCTGTGTAAAACATGAGACCATAACTCGCATTTAACACTGGACTTTGCCTACATAGACGGAATAGATAAATCATACTTTTCAGTGATTTCATTGTCTGACAGGGAAATCGGTTGTTCTTTTAGTGAAGTAATGAACGATAATGTTTTGTTTTAAATATACAAGAAGTTATCAAAAATCATTGAGACTACGGTAAGATTTTTGTGTGTTTTTCTCCCCCCAATTTTATTAAAATAACAGCACTATTAAGTTTAAGATATATAGAGCATGATTTGATTTACATGTATTGTAATTGTAATTGAAATGATTACACAATAGATTTCTGTTTCTTAAAATATACACCTGAAATCAATAACCAGAGATTTTTGTCTCTTTCCATAAATAATAATTATAATTTACAACTCTTTGGCATATATACATGTATATATGTTAAATAACTATACTTTTTTCAGTTCACATTTTCTAGAAATTCTGTATTAAAAATGCTAAACTATAGCTGTTTTTATTTGGAATGTATTATATATTACCTTTTGGATTCTAGAAATCACCTAAAATGTGACATACAGAGGGTAGTGAAAAATGTCTATAAACACATTAAAGATTAAAACAGTGGCTGAGTCCATTGGAAGGAAGTGATCCTATGAATTAGTAATGAAAGTGCATTTACGGTTATTGTCTTACTAGGGTCTGAATTTTAACAGCTGCTGGTAGTTTAATAGAAGTCTGAATAGCCCATAATTGAGGATTCATTGTGTTTATGGATTATTTCTTAATAGAAACACTTAATACTATTACCTGTCTTAAATTACTTCAAAGGGTAGTTATAAAAATAAAATAAGGTAAGTACATATGTTTTACAAACATGATAAGTGCTCTCTCTCAGTGTGTATGTGATATATAAAATTATGTATTAAGTCTATTGAGTGATAGTTTTAGGAGTTGTTTGAAACTTCATTTAGAGCCCATGAATACAATTGGTGACAATTTCAAAGTATAATGGACTGAAAACGCTAAATTTGTGTTACAAACATATAAGAAGAGTATTTAAGTTAAATAGGAGGCCAAGTATTTTAGAAATGGATGCCATATAGGCAATGAATATATTAATGTCATTTAAAACATTTTTTAAAGTTTATTTATTTTGAAAGAGAAAGAAAACACAAGTGGGGGAGGGACAGGCAAAGAGGGAGAGAAAGAATCCCAAGCAGGCTCCGCACTGTCAGTACAGAGCCCAATGCGGAGCTTTAACTCATGAACTGAGATTGTGACCTGAGCCGAAGTTGGATGCCTAACTGACTGAGCCACCGAGGCACCCCAATTTTTTTTTAAATGTTTTCATTTCTGAAAGAGAGCACGAGTGGGGGAGGGGCCAAGAGAGAGTAGGACAGAGGATCTGAAGCAGGCTCTGTGACCTGAGCTGAAATCAGACACTCAACTGACTGAGCCCCTCGGGTGCCCCATTAATGTCATTGTTATGTATCATTTAATCAGGTACAAGGTCCTTACCTGGTTATATACTAGTAACATTTTGTTCCTTTGCTTCTTTTGACTCCGTGCTTGAAAACAAACTGCATGTTCTTAAGACTATTCTAAAATTTAAATATTTTATTAATTTTTCTGGCCCTTTCTGCAATTAGCTGGAAGGAAGGATGTTTTCTTCTAATCAGAATCTGTAATACTAGTTTTTAAACTAATCCAATTAAAGAGCACAAAGGCCAGTAATCTTATTTTGTTTCTAAGCAAAGCACACATATTTTAGATAACAGCTTTTAAATATTATGTCTGAAACACCACATTAAATGTAGCCATATTATATCACTCATTATTAAAATTATCTTAATAACCATCACACATTGATTTTTCCCTTTAATTATAGAAAAGAGGAAAATTTGAAATAATCGGAATTTGAGTATCTCTCATTTATCTTACACTGTACCAGATGCTTTGGTGAGATATAAAGAAATTTCCAAATACTTTGTCTTAGAAGAGCTTAAAGGTGGGATAAAATGTATTTTAAAAATTATCACAATAAACTATTTGTAAAAAAATAAATAAATAAAAAAAATTATCAAAAAAACTTTAAAAGGGATTTGTAAATAAATGCCAAAGAATGTCATAAAATTAATAAATGTTCTAGAAGTGACAAAAGTGAAAGTTAAAAAAAATTTGTTTAAGCTTTTAAAATTTATTTCAGTGATCTCTACACCCCACATAGGGCTTGAACTCCCAATCCCAAGATCAAGAATTTCATGCTCAGGGCTCCTGAGTTGCTGAGTCGGTTAAGCGTCTGACTTCGGCTCAGGTCATGATCTCACGGTTTGTGGGTTTGAGCCCTGTGTTGGACTCTGTGCTAATAGCTCAGAGCCTGGAGCCTGCTTCGGATTCTGTGTCTCCCTCTCTTCCCCTCCCCTGCTCACATTCTGTCTCTCTCTCTTTCAAAAATATATAAACATTAAAAAAATTATTAACAGCAACAACAAAAAGAGTTGCAAGCTCTTCCAAATGAGTCAGCCAGGAGCCCCAAAGAGTGAAGGTTTTAAATCTCATTTCCTTGAAAGAAGTATGCTAACATTTTATCAGAATTGATAATCGGAATTGATTTCAAACTATTTACTAAGTTTTTAAACCAGGACGATGTCAGTCTTATGTCTGCTGACCAGTTTTTCTAATAAAAAATCACCATCAGTCTTCTTGGAACATAGTATATGAGTAAAACATGTGTTGTCTTTTCTTTCTTCCAGGCATACTTCCGACAGGGTGTTGCCCTCCAGTACCTGGGACGCCATGCCGATGCCCTGGCAGCCTTTGCATCCGGCCTGGCTCAGGACCCCAAGAGTCTCCAGCTTCTGGTGGGCATGGTAGAGGCGGCCATGAAATCTCCCATGAGAGGTAAATACGATGAAAGTGTTTGGTCTGACACTAATTTAAAGTAGGACATTTCTAGCCTTTGAAGACTTTGGACCAAGACATTGAGAATTGGTAGGTTATCAGTTTGCCAAGATTTGATATTTTACACAAAGGAAGATCAAGAATCACTGTTACAATAGCTGATGTTAATGAGTCAGAACAGGATGCTGGTAAGGACGCTGGCCCAGAAGCTTATGGACTTGGATTCTATTTTAAAAATTTTTCGTAAACTAACTTTATGACTAGTGTGAATGAATTAACTTTTCTGGATTTCAGGGTTATCCAAAGAATACTTTTAAAAAATAGTTGTGAGATTCTGCACCTTTGAATCACAACACGTCTAGTGGTAAATTGATTTGCACAGTTGGACCAATATGCCATCTAGAAGAGTAGATATCGTATATTCTAGTATTTCAGAACAGGAAATATGTATCTAACACTAGGCTGTGTCTAACATTTTTCAGAGGAACATGAAAAAACTATGTTGAATTAAAAGGGAAAAAAAAGAACTAGTTTACATGGTTTTCTCCTGTTGTTACTTCTGTTTTGTACCAATTGGTATTCTGGAAAAACAGTGGATTGGAAATAGTACAAAGGTTGGATGAGTTCTTAGGCCCAAAACTGATTGATTTCACTTTGAGGAAGATTGATTTTTGCCGAATGAGCTCTTGGACAGATTGGGCTTAAAGGCTATACCAATAGTCATCTTTGCAGTGATGGAGACACTAAGGCAGATTGATGGCAAATAGTGGACAGTTAATAATATTCCGTAGTAGTTAGATTATATCAAGCAGAACTTATTTTGTCTCTGAAATGGTATGTTTCTGAATGAACCTAAAAAATTTGATGGCAGTGTCACTAGATACCTTATTTAGTTTAAAAAATATTTGTGGCATTATATAGTTTTAATATATTGGCCCGTACACTACTTGGCTCAAAATAAAAGCTAAGTAAAAGTTTGATGAACTAAATGGTACTTTGTCTCTGGGTACTTCATAGCTATAAAAAATGTTTTCCTGAAAGTTGAAGATTTCATGTTTTAGAAAAAGAGTGACAAGGAAATCTCTCCTCATATGATTTTATAACCCCTTACAAAGCTGAATCTTTGCTTGTAGGAACCTAATGGCTTCTCCCACTGGGGGACCTGCTGTTAATAAACTCTGACTTAGAACAGATGCGCTTTGGAGCTCCAGGGCTTGGGCGGGTGGGGGAAGTGGACAACAACAACAACAAAAATCAATCTGTCTCTCCTTGCCATTTTCTGGCATTTTCCCATTCTCTCCCTACACCCTTCTGCAAGTAATTTACATGGGAAAAATATATATATACACATATATATATTTTATTTAGTTCTTGAAGATACCACTTCTTTATTCTGAGGTGTTTCTGCTGCTGCCTTAGAATATTGGACTGAATGTGTTGAGATCAGCAGAATCATACTCACCATTTTGCCTTTGAAGCAATTTGTTTAGATAAATGTAAGAAAACCTTCCTGCACTGCGAGAAATAGCTCAGTGCTGCTGTCCCCCTTCGGGTTTTCTGTGCCAGTTCTTTCCTGTCCTATCCTGAATGACCTAAGGCTGACCCTGGAGAAAGCAGCATCTTACAGGTGCCTGGAGCACTTCAGTATTTTCTTCTCTTTCCTTAAGGCGATTTGATTTATCTCATTTATTTTTAGCCTTGCCTTTACCGCTGTACCTATTCCAGGTGGGCTTCTCTTATCAGCATTTTATAGAAGCTGTTCCTTGGCACGGTGTTGTTCTGTGTGCCATGTCACATCTTAATGACCTCTCTTTTTGACATATGGTTGCAATTCACAAAATCTGTCATCGTTTGCCACTCATTTCTAGCCACTGTTTATTTTAGCCTCTTTTTTTTTTTTTTTAATTTTTTTTTTTTATTTTAGCCTCTTGCAGCTTTCTGAGTTCCTGCCATTGTTGTGTGTCTGTGTAGTTTGGGTCACTTTACTTATAGGTTTGATCTGTTACATTGTTTTTTGTTTTTGTTTTTGTTTTAATAATTCTTAAACACAACAGAGAAAGCCCCCTAATCCAGGTACTTCTGTAAAGAATCAAAACCCTAGTGATGTGCACAGGATCCCTGTGGTTTGGCCTTTTGGGGAAGTTTCAAAGTTTCTTCTTTTTTTAATTTTATTTTTATTTTGAGAGAGAAAGAGAGCATGTGTAGGGGAGGGGCAGAGAGAGAGGGAGAGAGAGCATCTCAAGCAGGGGCTCAAACCCACGAACCGTGAGATCATGACCTGAGCTAAAACCAAGAGTTGAACCCTCAACTGATTGAACCACCCACGTGCCCCCAGGATTTCATTATTTTTAAAGTTAGGACCAGTCTGCATTGATATGCCCCTGTTCCCACATAATTACATTCTATCTATCCATATTGAAACTTACTTGTTTTTTTATAGTGTTGCTGATATTGCTAACTGAATTAATAAGTCTGTTTTACTTTATTTTTATGTTTTCACTCATGTTCACCAACCAAAAGATCAGTTAAACTACTTCTCCTGTGGATATACTTCTATCCTTATAATATAATATATTTCCTTAAATCGTTAATGAAAATGCAAAAGTAAGCATAAATATAAAATGATGCTCTTTTTGATGACTTCTCAAGTTATCCTTTCACTCTTTTCTGTTTCTCCTTTTTAGACAGTCAGAATCTCAGTGCATTATATCTTATAAATGTTTATGCAAATTTGAAAGGAACAGCATAGTACTATTGCCAACCAAATTCAGTAATACAATTATAAAGTGAGATTGAGTTTACCTTTATTTGTTCCTCTAAAGACGCCAGGACTGCTTCTTGCTGAGGGTTCTCTTGTGTATATTTTCTCTCCTCCCGTTAATTCGGTAATCTAGAGACTATTACATTTATGGGCTATCACCTGTAGTGGTGTTTCTACCAGCTCCAGAGGACCCAGGGAAGCTAATTTTATGGAGTGCTGGTGGAAAATGGCTGTTGAATGTATAAGCTTTTCTCTCAGGGTCAAGTTGGGGCTCACCTTTTATTTGCCTAATTGCCATCCCCCTCGGTGAGCTCTTTCCCTCTGATTTTCTTTTAGGTGGCAGTCACTTCACAGGAGGCCTGTGTTCTGAGATGTTATGTTAAAAAAAAGATTGGAACCTAATCCCAATGCTGCCGTTTGCTATTTCATTGACTGAGCAAGGTTGCTTCCTTTCTGTACACCTCGGTCCTTACCGAGGGAAATGACAATATCTGCCTCCTGATGTTGTTTTGAGAATCCAGCCCTAGAAAGTATAAACTGGTCCTTGCAGGCCACCTCCCCTGCTTCGGTGTGACACGCTCCTCACTGAGGAGTGCACGTAGTAAGCCTCCTCTTGGACTTACGACAGGCACAGTGTCGTGGGAGTGGAATGAACACTGTACTGTACACGTGATCCTCTTGCCGAGCACTCACTGGGAAATGTGGTCTCAGCCCTCAGTGCCAGGAAGAGCTGCATTTCTCCTGTGTGTGGGTATGTTTTTATTTAAAAGATCTGGGAATTTTAGGGGTACCTGGGTGGCTTAGTTGGTTCAGCATCTGACTTCAGCTCAGGTAATTCATGATCTCGCAGTTTGTGAGTTCAAGCCCCACATCGGGCTCTGTGCTGATAGCTCTTAGCCTTGAGCCTGCTTTGGATTCTGTGTCTCCCTCACTCTCTGCTCCTCGCTCACTCATTCTCTCTCTCTTTCTCTCTCTCTCTCTCTCTCTCAAAAATAAATATTAAAAAAATTTTTTAAATGGTCTGGGAATTTTTAAAGTGATCTTTTCCTTCTTCTTTGTCTTCCATGAAGCCTAGAGCCCAGTGTCCTGGCTATCTTGAGGAACTGGGCCAGGCCTTGTCTATATGCTGAGTTTTATTGCCTTTTCCTTGTATTCTACCCATTCTGACTTCTGTGTTTTCTACCTTTATTTCTGTGGAAGGCCTCTGAATCCTTTTGGAAGTGTTATACACACAAACCTGGGAAAATGTGACAAAGTGCTTAGACAAAGTGCTAAACATGTCAGTTTTCTTTTCTTTCCTTTTGTTTTTTTGAGGAGGGTTAAGTTTGACTTTTTGTATAAACTGAAAGTTTTCTAGTTGTGGTACAATATATGTAACATAAAATTGACCAATTTTAACCATTTTTAATGATACATTTCAGTGGCATTATGTCCGTTTAACAGTGTTAAGGGATCATCACCACCATCCATCTCCAGAACTTTTTCATCTTCCCGAGTTGATACTCTATCCCCATTAAATAATAACTTCCCACTCCCCGTCTTCCCCACTCGGGGCAACTACCATGCTGTTTTCAGTCATGCATTTAACTACTCTGGGTACCTCTTGGAAGTGGAATCATACAATAGCTCTCCTTTTATGACAAGCCCAGTGGCTTTTAGTTTCTTCTTTAAGGAAATACCCTAAGAAAATATGAAAATTAAAATGAAGTGCATGTTATGAACGTTACCTCTAATTTTTTTTTTTTGGGAATACTTTACCTTCATCATACTTTGCTTACTCTCTTACCTTTCAGTAGTTGCTGTTCTCTCTGGGTCAGTTTTGGAAATTCATTTCAGGATTGTTTCTCTCAGTCTTCCAGGTTTGCAGCTCAGTGCTGTATTTTAGTGGTATATCCAAGAGTAATTGGTAGTGGTATCACTAGGTGTTTAGGAAAATTGAAGCCTTTTTAATGTATGTATGGAAATGGTATAAGGGTAACTTGGAAGGCTCCAGAAGGTCTTCATAGTGCTGTAGACAAAGTCAAGTCTGTAAAAATGTTAATTACCTTGAAGGTAATCCACTGGAGATGGGGAGTACAGTATCATTCCTTTGGAATAAGGCATTGTGTCTGTTCAATGCATTTATTCCTCAAGGTCCATAATTTTTTTATTCTAACTATGTCTGAAATTTATCCCTTGTTCTCCATTTGTTTTGTCATTGAAAATTCAGGACTTTGCTTCTAACTGGTTTTTCTGGCTTTTATGTCTCCTAACCAGTCCATGCTTTCCTCCCAGAATGAACTTTCTAAAATGTAAGTCTGATAAGTCATTCTCTTATTTGTAAGTCTGTTTTCCCCATTGCTTACAGGATAGAGGCGAGCCTCCTTTGTAGAAGAGATCTTTTCTCTCTTTCATTCTCGTTTCCAAGATCTTGGAGACGAGAATGAAACAACCTGCAGTTCCTGAAAAACACTAGTTCTTATATTTTCAATTTCTTCTTTAAAATTCTTTTATATGTTTATTTTTGAGAAAGAGAGAGAGAGACAGAGAGACAGAGTGTGAGCGGGGGAGGGGCAGAGAGAGAGACACACACAGAATCCGAAGCAGGCTACAGACTGAGCTGTCAGCACAGAGCCCAACCCTGGGCTCCAACTCATGAGCCTCGAGGTCATGACCTGAGCCGAAGTCAGACACTTAACAGGATGAACCACCCAGGTACCCACTTATATCTTCAATTTCTAGTAAGAGGTCACTTCTGTGGAAAGAACTCTCAGACCTACATGAGTAGGGTTAGCCTTTTTGTCCTTTGAGAAAGGAGAATGCTAAGAATTCTACCAATGCTAAGAAGTCTGGCTTAAGAGTTGTATCATTATTTTACATATTAGTAAAAAAATGTTGATGTTTAAATGATGACACAATTCTTTCTTGTCATTTAACTTTTTATTTTATATAAACTGTTGGACTCCTTTAGACACAGAAGTGCCATACCACTGAGAGGAACTGTTGTGTTCAGAGACATTAAATCTCAAATCCAGAGATGGTGATATGTGGATAAATGTGCATCTCCTAGCCAAGTGTGATTGTTTATAAATGTTCTCTATGATGTTCCTGCAAGCTCTTCACATGTCAGGAAATGTGACTTTGTTCATCTTATATTCTTAAAGGCTATACATTTGGAAAGTAAATAACTGGTGTTCAGTGAATGTTGTTGCAGGCCTCTACATCCTTATGTAGTTGGTTTAACATTGGCTATTCCATATATCATGCATAGTTTCTAGAAGGAAAAACATGTTAAGACCTATAGGCTGCTAAATCTCTGTTTTACCTCGCCTGATAAAATCACAAAATTAGTCCCTTTACTAAGAGCCTTCATTTACTCTAGAATAGGAATTAGAATAATAGAATAGTAGAGTTGGAAAGAATCTGAGATGACTAATCTAGCTTGTACTTTTTATACATTAGGAAACCTTGTCCTACCATTTTTATTTATCAAAAGCATGCACACCTGATAATTAGAACTTCTGACTAATGAGTGTGGGCCATGGAAACATAATTACCACCCAAAGTAGAGACATTTGACATTAAAAATTTTAAATTGACATAAAGTGAAATGGACTTTTGTGTATATATCTGCACACATACATAGATGTACACACATGTATGCATATGTGTATAAATTTACGCACACGTGTACATAATATATATAGACATACACATATCTATCACACATAGAGATTTATGTAACCATCACCAGAATCACAATCCATACATTTGACAAAGTGAGACCAATGCTGTGTGGCTTTGAAATCCAGGTCTCTTTATTCTTAGCTAAGTATTTTCTCCATTATTCTACATTTGCTTCCTTCCTTATGATATTCTCTGGTCCATTCCAGCTGGCCTATTCATCCATCATTCTGTATCATTCCATATACCTATTTTCTTCCAGGACCTTTGCTAGGGACAAAACTTATGCTTAAAATACCCTCTACTCTCAGAAAAAAAAGAAGGACTTGTCTAAATCCTACCTACTCTTTCTTTATTTAATCAAGTTATGCTTCCATGAAGCTTTCTGATTACCCTTAATAGTCACTCCCTTTTCCAAACTCTTGTAACATATACTGTATATGAGCTTGCATTTAATTTATCTTTTAATGTATTTACTTTCTCCTTTCTTAATACTGCAAATGGAAATTTTATCTTTTACCTCTTGTACTTCCAACTTCATTTTTTTACTGAAAATTTGTAGAATTGAAGGTTTCTTTTTTTTTTTCTTTTTTTTGGGGGAGGCAGGGGTAAACTTCTAGGTATTTCCCTCAGTCCTCCAGCTGTGGCAATGTTCTGTCTTCTTTATACTGTTATGTAGTTTTAGCGGCTTGATTCAAAGGCTCCTCTTTTGAACTTGGCCATGGTTGCCATGTTTAAAAGAAAAATCACCAGCTGAAGCATGGTATCTTTGCTGGCTGTTAGTCACTTTGGGCTCTCTGTGTCTGAAGCCTCGTGCTGTGTTTTGGGAATTCTCTGTTATAATTCAGCCTACAGCCTTCCACTGTAAAAGCTGAAAATATCAGATCTTAATATTCCCATCCTCCGTCGCATCTAGGACCCACCTTTGAATCAGGAGCTAAAGGTTCAAAGAAGAAAGAATAGCACAGAATCTGTTCTGGTGGTGTTGGTTGGCAGTCATGACAAGTGTTTTCTAAGGGTGGCCTGGAGTAGTGGGGGGGAGGGGGGAACAGTCTTGGAGCCTGTGGTCTCCTGTGTTGAGTTGCAACAGTCACGTAGTTTTCCTTATGGAGCTTTGGCGGCATGATTTTGACTGTGGGTCTGGAGGCCTGATTTTTCGCCATTGGCAGTAGCTCCTCTGTGCATATCTTTTCTACTTACAACTGGCCAAATTTAGTTTCTTTTGTCAACAACTAAGAAGTTAGTTTAGGTATGGTATCATAGAGCCTGGACTTAGAGCCCTGCAATGGGTTCATATCTTGGCTCTGTCCCAAGCTGTCTGACCTTGAATGAATCACTTAAATGTTTAGATTCATCATTTCTAAAATGGGTATTTTCAAGGTCTTTTCATCTCTAAGTTCTATTATTTTTGCTTCTCTTAATTGACTGGTAGGACGCTAATGTGATCATCATTGGCTGCCAGACCCATCAGCGGATACCACCAAATTCTGCTCACATTTATTTCAGTGTGGTACTGTTCTTTTCTATTCCAGTAATTCTTGGGTTCCTGTGCCTGTATTTAACCCTATTGGTTAGCTAGTGTTTACTGGTACTGCGCACGCTTGCATCTTGACAGGTATAAAAATGTTCTTTGTTCTCTGTTTAGTGATCTGATTGAAGGGGAAAAATGCTTTAGGCACCAGTAGGTTTCGAGGTTTCTGTGGTAATGTTGATTCAGACGAGAGCTCCTTAGTGTAGAGTTGAAATTCAAAGTCATAAATTGTAACAATTACATTTTAATGCAGTAGTGTTGGCTGAGAGATTCAAGATTTAAAGAGACCAGCCTTTTAACAGTTTTTTTTACATGTGCACAGTGGAATAACTAATGTTAAATAGTTTTTGAGGAAAGCTAACAAATGCGTTCTAAGTGCCACATCATTGTAGGGTGATAGCCATTGGCTCTGCAATTGTCTTTTAAAAAAATGGGAGAAGGGGGAGAAGGCAAGCTTAGAGGTCATCCGCATTCAAACCTGGCTTCCGGTGGAAAGACTCCTTTTGTGGCTTTCTGACCCCTAGTCTGTGTCTTCTCCAGATACCACATGAAAATAAAATGCAATTAACATTAATTTTGTCTTCTGCCTTACTTTAGCAAATTCAGATGATTTTTTTATGGTTTCATTTGTCATCACAACAAAAACTGATAATACTTTAAATTTTTTTCTTTTACGTTTTATTTATTTGAAAGAGAGAGAGAGAGAGAGAGAACAAGTGGGGCAGTGGCAGAGAGAGAGGGCGACACAGGATCCGAAGCAGGCTCCAGGCTCTAAGAGCCTGACACAGGGCTCAAACTCACGAACTGTGAGATTATGACCTGAGCTGAAGTTGGATGCTCAAATGACTGAGCCACCCAGGCACCCTGATACTTTTCTGTTTGGTCATACTGGTCTTGGAAGCAGCACTGGACACTGGGTTGCAGTGAGGATGATGGGGATTTTATTAGGAGAGCTTCTTTTATTGCATCATCTGGATGGAGTTTTATTAATCAGCCATTCAGATTCCGATTGAACAAACATTTATGGAATACCAGATGTGTTAGGGACTATCACCTACATGGCAATGGTAAGTTTTCAATTTAGTGCCCACATTGTGCCAATTGCTGTGGAATTACTATAAACCTTTAAACACTCCTACAGCGGTCTTCAGATTTAGCTGGGGAAATGTCTTAAAAATTAACACACATGGAACAAGTCTAAAATAGTTAAGGGTCAAACTGTGCAATATTAACTATAAAAATGAAGCAGCAGTTTAGATACAAAGAGTACTGTGGGCTGTAGGGCCTGAGAATACCAGATGGTAAAGTCAGAACTTGAGAGATGTGCTTGTAAGATTTTTTAAAAAGTTTATTTATTTATAAAGAGCACATGTGACTAGGAGAGGGGCAGAGAGACAGGCAGACAGAGAATCCTGATGGGGGGCTCAGACACTCACAAACCATGAGATCATAATCTGAGCTGAAGGCAGACCCTTAACTGACTGAGCCACCCAGGTGCCCGTGTGCTTATAAGATTTTGAGAGGACAGCAGACCAGAGGAGGGAGAACTGTTCAGGGAGAGTGGCACATCATAATCAGAGAAGGACTGGAAGAGAAGGTGAGTGTGGTGTGCGCATGTGCAGTGGGGAGAAGGAAATCACCGGACTAAGGTTGGGGTCATGGAGTCCTATGGCTAAACGGCAGTGAGGGTGGTGCTAAAGGTTGAAGAGTTTGTACTCGAAATGGCCCATAAAAAAGTGTGATAAACATATGTTTTAAAGCCTATTACAAAAGATTGTTTCGTATAGCATCCTACATTCTCGTTTCCATTTTTTTTTCCAGACTCTCTCGAGCCCACTTATCAGCAGCTTCAGAAAATGAAACTGGACAAGAGCCCCTTTGTGGTCGTATCTGTGGTTGGGCAGGAACTCCTGACAGCTGGCCATCATGGGGCCTCTGTGGTTGTCTTAGAAGCTGCTCTCAAGATTGGCACCTGCAGCCTCAAACTGAGAGGTTCGGTTTTCTCTGCCCTGAGCAGTGCTTACTGGTCTCTTGGAAACACAGAGAAGAGTACTGGATACATGCAGCAGGACTTGGATGTAGCCAAGACCTTAGGTAGGGTATGTTTGTCTTTTGTTTCAGTACAGACAGGAAATAAAGAAAACTGATTAGCCTGACATGGACAGGGATACCACATGTGATGAAAAGTGAGCGTGTCTCTAGAATATTCTGTGTTTTAGAATGCTTAGGTCTTATAACAAGATACCAAGGCTCCCAAAAGCCCGAGATATGTGGATTAACATACTCATTGCCCTCTTCAGAGATTTGGGCTCACAGCTTTAATACCCCAAATGATAGTATTAATGGGTGAATCTTTCATCTTAATTTTGATTTTTGCCTACCTTAGATTGCATCAGCATTTTGCCAGAGGCAATGGTCCAGTGCAGGGGTTAAGAGTGTGGCCTATGGAACCAGACTGCTGAGTTTAGCATCCTGGCTCTGCCGCTTACTAGCCATATGACCTTCTGCAGGATGCCTCAGCTCTCTGTGCTACCATCTCCTCATTTGTAAAATAAGTGTGGCTTGTGAGTATGGTTGTTGTTACAGCGATTATTCAGTGACTTGCAGGAGTGCAGTAAGAGCAGAGACGCGGTAAGTCTGCCATCAGCATACTTGTAAAGAAGCAACACATCATGGTAGGTTTGTAGTTAAATGTCTGAATCAGCAAGCTGATGGTTGTTCAGAACCAGAGGTCATTAGCAGAAAATTGAGCTGACTCCTAGCAGCTGGTTTGTGTCCTCTCATTACCAGGACACCTATATCCCTGATTCTAGTTGTGTGTTATAACAAGTTATTGTCCAGAGATTCAAGTTCTAGGACCATAACTTACTAAATAGAGTCTTGGAGAAGAAGAAAGTACTTTTCTAAAAGAAGGGAAGTGAAATCTTACTTGTAAATCTGTGGCTCTTAAATTAATGTGGGCATTACAAATTATAACTAACACTGTAACTTAGAGAAATTTTATCTTTTTTTAAAATCCAACCCAGGTGACCAGACAGGAGAATGCCGAGCTCATGGGAATCTGGGCTCTGCATTCTTCTCCAAAGGAAATTATCGGGAGGCTCTCACTAACCACAGGCACCAGTTGGTGCTCGCCATGAAACTCAAGGATCGAGAGGTAGGAAGTTTACCTGCAGACCTTATACATTGTTTTGGAAACATGGAGTCTTTTTTGCTGTTCAAAATGTTTTAGGTACTCTAAAATGTTACTTTTAGAAGTAGGTGATCATTGCGTCTATCTTTCACCAACAATCAGATATTGAATGTCTACCACATACAGACCTTGAGGATATAGAAATGAATAAAATTTGGTCCCTGACCTCAGGATCTAACAGCTAGCATTGTTAGATGCATTGTTCTTATTCTATTCAACTATGAAAGGAAGAGACCTATGAAAATTAACAAAAAACTGTATCTTCATGATATATCCATTAAGTTAAAGAAACCTACATTTGCTTTCTTTGAGATGGAGTATTATTACTGCAAACTCTTCATGTTGTGTCTTTGGTGGATTTTTAACTCAGGTGGCAGAAGCATATTAAGTCTGATTGAGAGACATGAATTATAATGATAAGTAATACCGTCTGTCTTTATTAGAGAAATGGAATGTAATACTCTCAGGGAGTTGATATCCAGTAGATGCAGCATGATGAGAAAGTGCCTACAAGGTGGAAAGAGGGTGGGGTTTGGTGTAAAATAGACCCAGGCTGGCTCTGGCTCAAGGATCTTGGGGAAATTATTACTTAACTCCTCTTTGCCTCTATTTTCTTATATAGAAAATAATGATTATATTTATTCCATACACAGTTGTGATAGGATTATAAATAAATACATATGTAAAGTGCCTAACATGGTACTTGGAATTCCATAAATGGGCTTCTACTATAATATTATTAACAAGAAGAGGGTAATAGCAGAGGCAGTAACAAATTTATGAATCAATCTATGTGTTGAGAAATACATTTAATTATACTTAGTTATCTTAGAATTTCACTGTGGAACATTATAGAGATTAATTATACTATTAAATGATCCAGCATCTTCAAGTCTTTAGAACATGGTCAGTCACTAGGAAAACACTGGGGAAGAAAAAAGCCTTTGTTTCAGTGGTGTGCTGGAGTCTCCCCATGGGAACGGAAGAGACTTCTATAGTTTCTCTCATCCATGGATATCAGAAAAAGGCCTTTGAAAGCTGTCAAAACATAGCAGTGAAGGGACATGGACTTCAGGTGATTTTATTCTCAAGATAATACTAAATATTTTTTCTCTTTGCCTATTTACTCTTAGTTTATAAACAGTTCTTAAAAGCCAGAAATCTGACTTCTTGATGTTAAGGGAATGAAAAGAGGGATCAGACTTTTAGATGCAGATATACTGATGGCTTTAAGTGAGAGCCAGGTTTAAGGACTAAACCAGCGTAGTTGTCTAAATAGGGCCATTTAGTGAAGGCTCAGATGGCTATAAATATGTCAAGAGCTGCATTTATACTCTATTTTCCTGACCTTTGGGATGCATATATATTAGCCCAATTACTGAATAGGGTTGAAAGACTTATAATTAGGGCGTAGGATTATCATAGGTATTAAAAAAGAGAAGTGAAAATTTTCTGCCTTCCCTCTTCTTTCTTAATAGTGTAATTTTATATAGCTTGTGTTATCTGGGTTTTATAAACCTTTGCTGTACAATAATTTATTAAGAAATCATTAAATTATAAGGATGGAAGGGACCTTGAGATAATACTGGAACCAGTTCCCTCCCCAAATCTCCCATCTTCAAGTTTCTGCCTGCCACAGACACCCTATCTCCCTGTCTTTTGGCCTCTACTTCACCACCACCACAGTAGTTCACAAACCTGCCTATTGGGAACCCCTCCTTATGTATAAGTAAGACTGATTTTACCCCTCTGGGACCAGACAGTGAATGTTCAGCTACCATAATTAATGGCCTGTGGCCTCTCCTTTTCCAAGTTGAAAATCCCATTAATTTTCTCTTCAAAGTTTCTCATTATCAAAACTGGAATAATTTTTACAACCTCCCTCCTGGCTCTTTCATTTTCACTGTTGCCCATTCTGGTTGCCGGTTAGCCACAGGTCGGCCACAGCAGAAGCCTGTTTGGGGACGTCCTGTCTAGCCTGGGCCCATGCTCTGTGTTGCCAAAGCATATTTATCTGATTTCTAGACTGACCTGTAGAATTCCTCTTTTCTCTCACTGTGTCTCTTCTGTTGTGTTTGCCTCTGGAATCATAGGGTACCACCATTCATTTTCTTGAGAATTTAATGCTATTTTCTTACCTTCTCCCTTAATTTTTAAGGTTGCATTTGACTGCTGCTGCTTGTCTGCCTGCATTAAACTGGAAATCTTTATTCCCACCTCCCTGAAACCGGCCAATAGTTTTAAAGACTGGAGTTATATTGGTCTAGAATTTAAAGGAACATTCAAAGGAATTATTGCAGTAATGTGTATTTCATTCAGTTTCAAAGTTTTAGTTGCCCAGTCTTCTGTGATAGAATTCAGTGAAGTGTGGTGTCTGCCCGCAAAGTCCCAAACATGAGCACCGTGCGGAGGGCACTGGTCTAGGCCCTGGGCATGAGGCCTCCTCTGGAAGGGCTGGTGTTCTCTCTGAGACAGAACTCAAATAAAACAAAAGCATTAAGACACTGCTTGAGCAATAAATAATGAACATTCTCTTCAGTCACTGCCAAGATTCTCAAATTCTGGAGGAGACAGAGACTCCCAGGTGTAGACCAGGGTGACCTTTGTGAAACAGGTGGAACTCAGGTTGGCCCCTGAGTGAGACCCAGAAATTGGTGTGCGGGGCTCTAAAACCTGGTCAGCGTATCAGTCATGTGATCCCTCATATCAGTCACGATGGACAAAATACTTCATACCATTAGCAAAGATCTGATACCATTTTCTACCATTCTATTTGTTTTAGTCACAGACTCTTAGGTTTTTTTTTTAAGGGTAAGACTCATTAGTTTGATCCAGTTATGTAAAAAGTTGATGAAAATAACAAGCCATAAGCCTACCGTTCTTTCAGTATTTGGGGTATAATCTTTTAGCAAATATGCACATATAATTGTTTACTCAAACAAAAATTGAAATCCTATTGTGATACTTTTATAAATTGTTTTTGTTGTTAATATTTTCCACTTAATTTTTTACCTTTCTGCATTTTATTTATTTTTAATTTTAAAAAATGTTCATTTCATTATTTTTGAGAGAGAGTGTGAGCAGGGAATGGTCAGTCAGAGAAGGAGACAGAGGATCCAAAGCAGATTCTGAGCTGCCAGTGCAGAGCCCGATGTGGGACTTGAACTTACGAACCATGAGATGGGATGCCAAAGTCAGACACGTCACTGACTGAACCACCCAAGTCCCCCCATTTCTGCATTTTATGAAATGTTCTACAGAAGTATTATGGCTTTATCACAAATTATTTCGTCTCTACTCTTGCTGTTATATTTTTAGTTTGTTTCAAAATTTTTGATGTTATTAAATCTAGAAAAACATCTTTGTAGATTAATCTTTGAACATATCTCTCATCATTTCCTTTGGCTAAATTATTAAAAGTGGGCTTGTTTGGAAAAAACGTATTAAGCTTCTGATACTTACTGCTAAATAGCTCTCAGAAAGGCTGTATCTGTTTTCAGTCCTACCAGCAATGTATCAGAGGTTGTTTCCCTGCATTGGCCAACATTTGGCATTACTAAATAATAAATAACATAAACTAAAATGTCAGCTTGATAAGTCAAACAAAAAAGTGATATATTGCTATTTTACTTTGCATTTCTTTGATTGCTATTGGGGCTGACTGTTTTTAAAAATTTCTTTTATAAAAAGCTTGAATATTTATCCTTTTTTTTCTGTTGTAATGTTTGGTTATTTTATTTTTTTGTGGGTTTTTTTGATGTTGGTTATTTAATATTGATCTGATACTAGGCTTTGCAGTATCAGCCCAGTGAGCTGTTGGACAATTTGTGTTCCAAAGTACAGTTTTATTTATTGTTGCTTTATTGCACATTTTACATCTGCTGTAAGTTTCATAACGTTATTCTTTTAGAAAATTCTAGAATATTCTTGTCTCCCGTCAATACCCCCAAATAAACTTTGAAATCACTTTGTTGAATTTTGGAGACTCTTCCATTGGTATTTTTGTTGGAATCGTATTAAATTTACAAATTAATTATAGATAAACTGATGTTCTTTCGATAGTCGGTCTTCTGTTCAGGAATGTGGTTTGCTCTTGCATTTACCCTTTTATGGCCCTCAGCAATCTGTGCTTTTAGGGTGAGTTTTTCCATATTTATTTTTATTTGAATATAGTTGATACACAATTTACATTAATTTCAAGTGTACAACATAGTAGTTTTACAAGTTTATATATTATGCTCTGCTTACCACAAGTGTAGCTACCATCTGTCACTGCACAACACTATTACACAACACTGTTACAGTATCATTATATTCCGATATATATATCGGACTATATTCCGTATGCTGTGACTTTTATTCCTGTGATTTACTTATTCCATAACCAGAAGCCTGTATCTCCCACTCCTTTGACCCATTTTTCCCATCTATCCCTTCCCCTCTGGCAACAATCAGTTTGTTCTTTGTATTTTTAGTTCTGATTCTGCTTTTTGTTTGTTTACTCATTTGTTTTTTTAGACTCCGCAGATAAGTGAAATCATATGGTACTTGTCTTTCTCAGTCTGACTTATTTCACTTAGCATAATACCCTCTAAGTCCATTCATGTGGCAAATGGCATGATCTCATCTTTTTTTTTTTTTTATGGCTACATAAAAACAAAGCTGAAGATATCACAATTCTAGATTTTAATATACTACCAAGCTATAGTAATCAAAATGGTGGATGAGCACTGGGTGTTATATGGAAACCAACTTGACAATAAACTATTTGTTTAAAAAAAAACAACAACCAAAATGGTAAGGTACTGGCACAAAGCTAGACACATAGATCAATGGAACAGAGTATAGAACCCAGAAATAACCCCACATTTATATGGTCAGTTAAAGAATGACAAAGGAGGCAAGAATATGAAAAGGGGAAAAGACAGTCTCTTCAGTGAATGATGTTGGGAAAACTGTACATG